CTTGAAAAAAAAAAAAAAAAAAAAAAAAAAAAAAAAAAAAAAAAAAAGGAGTGTCTAGTATTAATGTGTGACTTATCTCACCTAATTTTGGACCTTCCCGAGTACTGCTAATCCCTGCTGGACATTTAGAGCTCCGTTTAAAAAAAGAAAAGCAGTTCTTAGCCCTGCCTTGCTTCCAGGCTCTCTAGAGGTGCCTGTTTACCCTCCATCAGCTGGGAAGGGGACCAGGATGACTGGAACAGACGTGGACACTTGAAAGCAAGTGGTATTTATCTCATCTGTCAGCCTGAATGCACAAGAGCGCTGTTCCTTTATCAAGGCTTTGCATTTCTCCTGCTGTCTTGTGAAAATTCTTACGGTAGCGGGAGCACTAAAAGCTGAGAAGAGATACTACCATTCTACTAAATGCTTACACTGTCCAGTTTTAGCAGAGAAATAGAAGAATGCAAAGTTTGGTGGGTTTTCCCCACTATTTAAAGCACACCTACCATTAACATTTCTAATATGTTGTCATAACACCTGATGTTCTCCATCAAATTCTAGAACCATGTCCCTTTTAATGATTCAGTAACACTCTGAGGATTTTAAAGAGGGGAAAAAAGTAAGCCACATTGGTGTGTTAGATGCTTTTGCCTCGCTACATGTCAAAAGCCATCAGCATGATCTGGTGACAGCACTCTGTTCCCATAACTTTCATCTTTTGGTGACTGTAAGACTGGATTTGTGATTTTATCGGATTCCTTAATTTAAAGCAGTGAGAGATAATATTGGGTGTATGGACTTTAAGATCACACATGCATGCTTGAGCTGCAATGACACGAATGTAAGCTTGCTATCTAGAGTAGAACATTCAGTAAAAGATCTCCTCTCTGTGGCCCACACCATTATTCCATTTGTCACATCCTGAACGACGGCACTTGGTTTGTCAGTCACCTCCCATCTTCGTAAGGCAGTCTGGCCGAGGCAAGTTGTGCGCTGACATTACCGTAAGCAGATAAAATGCCCAAATCCTTATTTTCCACTTCAGGAGAAATGCACATGGACACGATCTTCTCCTCCTCCAGGTCCCTGACATTGCAGCTGGGAGACATTCCTGCCAGTGCAAGACATCCCGCCAGGTGCTGGGCTTGCGAAAGCAGCAGAACCCCGGGTGACCAGCAGCTGAAAAGCGAGTTTGCCTCTAGATGTAAAAGTTAAGTCTCGTCTTTCTGCAATACCACAGAGTTTAAAGCTTTCAGTGCTCTTAAAGAATTTCTAGGGATCACTCAGTATTGAATAAAACTGGTTTCTGCCCTTTCAAAGTTCAAAGTAAGAGTGAGCAAACAGACTATCCTCCAGCAGCCGATGAGCTGGCAGGAGCTCCAGTGGAGTAAGTTACTTCTGGTCTGCCGGGTTCGACAGCAGATCCCTCTTGTGGCAGCTCAACTTATCTTTCCGATTCCTCTTTATAACACTAACGTCACGAGAGGAAGATTCATTTTAAAAATTCGCCTGCCATTCAACAAGGTCCCAAATGAGATTGTTTATTAAAGCAGCATCACCAATACCAAGCTCCAGGATCTGTTGCAAATAGACTGTAAAAGCTGTCAGAAATACTTACCTCCCAAGTGCTGCACTGAATAAATGAGTACAGCTTTCTTTTGAAGTCCAGAACAATAGTTTATTTTGCTACGGCATAATATTCAGCAATATATTCCTGAACAAGAACGAGAGTAACAAAGGAAGTCGCACAACTAAGCAGTTTCCTCCTCAATTGCACAGACTACGCCCCCCGAGTCCTCTCACCTGTGTCCTCACCATACCAGTCGCTGTGAATGTCCATCATGGAACTCATGGCTACCCCTGCATCCTCTGGCCTACCCTCAAAGCCCCGGACAAAGTGATGAACCACATCATCCTTTCTCTGAGCTGAGCTGTTGCGCAACAGGGCCTCTAGGAATTGTTTCATGTGATAGTTATTGCAGGCCAGGTCCATCGCCTGCCCGCCGTGCAGCCCCTCTTCCATCTGCTCAAGGGACACCGGAGTCGGATACTCGGCCAGCCGTTCACCCACTTCTACCTCTACTTCGTCCGAGTCAAACTCTACTTTGGGTTCCACCCCCTTGGGCAGCGAAGAATTGGCATCGTCTGGAGAGTCGCTGCTCGTGGGGTCTCTGACCACAAGCTCCAGGGGATGGCAGCTGCTGCACTCACCGCAGGGAGGATCTCTCTGGCAATCCAAAATCCTTTCCTTTTCCTGCAGGGAAGAGACAGAGGCAGAGCACTGGCTCTTTGAGCCGTACGAGGTGCCCTCTCTCGCAGAGCTAGCGCTCCCGCTATCAGCCTGATAGAAAGCGGCTTCTCTCTCTATTTTCCTGCAAATATCTAACGACGACCTTATATATGTTTTGCAGAAGTTGACCACATCGGTCATCTGCAAATAGCTAGCCGCAGACATCACCTCGATAACATTTTCCCCGCAGAGATCTAGCTTCCCGGAATAAAGGAAGTCTAGGATGATGGAGAAGGCCTCCGAGGTGACGATGTCCAGAGAGGCGGTGCTGTGGCGTCCGCTGTCTTGGATGTAGTGAATCAGCAGCGCTCGGAAATAGCCGCTGTTGGCGAACAAAATGTTTTTGTGCGCTTTGAAGATCCTCCCCTCCACGATAATGCTGCAGTCGCAGAAGAAGTCCCTCTTGCGTTGCTCGTTGAGCTCCCCCAGAAGCTTGGTGTAGTACGACTGCAT